AATAATACCTTAGGCCACCGTCTGCTCTCCTCAAACTTTTCAGTTGAATCTCCAGTTGTGCATAATCACTGGTTTATTTCCCCTCTATTTAAGATTACGATTTTTTTTGTCTTTAGTGTTTTCAGTAATTTTTACTCTTTTGCAATGCTATTATATAATATTATATAATAAGGGAAGCCTAGTAATAACAGCAATATAAATATGATTTCTTTTGTAGGTGTTTACTTTTCTGAAGATCTGTAGAATTGTACAATTGCATAGGAAATGATCTTTGAACTCTGGGAAATGGCTTGAGATACACGAGTAAAGAAGTCTTTGAAATTCAAGTATAAATAAATGTTTTTGATACTTCTTGTGGCTTGAAATATTTTATTCTACTTCAAAGACATGACTAAATGATAATAGCACATAATTTTGTCTGAGGCAGAAAACTGCTGTTTCCAAAACTTCTTTCAAGTGAGTATAGCTGCATTTATTCATCTTCCTCTGCATTTTTTCGGTGATCTGGGACTCCTGCAGTGCTGTATCCAGAGCCTGATCCTTTCAGAAGAGAACGATCTGAGATCCCCAGGGATGTGACTCCTGAGCAGTGGCAGGGAGGTGACAGTTTGCAGTTCAAGGTCCCTTCAGTCAATCTGCCCCTTGTTGTCAGGGGACACACCAGAGAGGGCTGAGGGACAGGGAGGTGGCCTGGGGGGACCATGAGCAGTTGGGGGCTGCTGAAGGTGCTGTGGTTCAGGGGGGGTGACTTGGCAAAGGAAAATCGAGTGTCAGTGTCTTGTAACCCAGCTGAGGTTGCAGAAACATCAGCTGGAAGTGCTTTATTCCCGTCAGTGCAAGGAGTGCATTGGAGCTGTGGCACTGTGTGAATCAGTGTACAAACAGTGAATGTTGGCTGCTGGCAGGGGGACTGAGGAGACACCAATTCACCAGCTTGTCTCTGAAATTATCCAGTTCCTTCCTGCAGCTCTCACAGAAGCAGCAGTGAGAAGGTTTCTGCTGCAGTCCAACTCTGCTGGCACTCCTTTGGCTTTGGTGCCCAGGCCTCTGGCTTGAGTCAGCAATACTGGGTTGTTTGAGAGCTGATGTGGGACATCCACAGCCCAGCTTTGCTCTGGTGTTCAGCTGGCAAAGGAGAATTGCTGGGGCCTAATTCTGAGGTAGTTGCAGCAGAATAAGTGGTAACTTTGCTTGTTGGGATCTTTTCTTTTTGGGAAGATCATAGACTTTGGAAGATACAATTCCCATCAAGAAAACCCCCTTTGTGAGTTTGAGGAGACACAGTTAACTACAAGTGTTCCATGGGTTTGAAGCCAGGCTGGGAACAGGGACTCGAGAGATTGAGGGAGTTCAGCCTGAACTCTGTGTGAGGTTCCTGATGTGCATTTTTTGAAAGGGCACATGACAATTTATTTTGACACTTCTTTGGTATCACCCATTCTTTGAAGAGTTCTTTCTCCTTCTATGTGAGTCACCTTGTGGTGTGTCCAGTGTTAACAGAGTGGAGCTTTCACATCATTCTTGATGAGAGGATTGAGAATTAGGAATCGAACCTGTTGGAGTGTTTGGTTTTAAACAAAATGAGGATTGAAAGGATTGTGAATCAGCACTCAGGGAAAGACACTGCTTTTGAAATAAATACACTGAATAAGGTCCTTTAGCTTGAAGTGCTTTGTTTTGTATTGTTTTACAGACCACTGACATAGTGAGACACTCTGTGTGCTTTCCTTGTAGGAACAGCACGTGACTGATAACTGCATTTGAGGCTGGGCAGGAAGAGAATTCACATTTGCTCCTTTCTTCTCAAGTATATACTGACTTTTATTGTATTAAAATACATTTTGCAGTGTAGATGTATGCTCTTAATATTTTAAGAAATGGCACTTCTAAATATGTCAGCACCAAACAACTTTTTAAATGTACATATTAAATAAATGTAGTGTTCAGGCAAAACCTTCAGCTTAGAGCGTCTTCAGAAGGAAATAATTCCACTTTAAAATTGCTTTACTTGGAAATGTAGTAAAATACTTTTACAAGTTAGGAATAACCAGGAGACTTAAACCAAACCACAAATGAGTTCTCCATCCATTACTGATGAGCAAAGATAAATAGCTTCTTCAACTCCACGCTGTTATATGTTGTATTTATAATATACAAAATGTAGATTATATACTTTGTATATTATATATTCTTCCTGCTTATTTTTTAGGCCCAAGCTGGTGTTTGTTTTTTTTTACTTAAGAAAACTTATTTGAGAGCATCAGTGCAATGTGAGTCTAAATAAGAATGCCAGTGTTCAGATTTGATGCTTTTCTGCACAGTATCTTCCCTGAGGTCATTGAAATCGATGGTCACTCACTGATTCCTTGGCTGTCTGCAGCAATTCTGTTTATCTAAATTTAAGTTTAAATATCCCAGCTTGTTTACATTTCCAGCAGCTAAGAGTGTTTGCAGGCAACCACCACACAGTTAACATTCAGGATAGAACTTCCTCCTAAATGTGGTGATACTAATGAAACTGTTGGATACTTTTTTATTCATATGGGAAATTATGCATTAGATTAACTCGGTCTCATATTTGCTGCCCTTCTGTTTGTTGTGTGAAGTAAAGAGGATGAAAACTGGGGAGATGAATTTTACCTGTTGAGGAGAGATCTTTTCTTGGCTCAGGATAGAATAGGAGTAATGATCCATTTTCTGCTGCCTAAAATTTGCTCTGGACAGAATAAAAAAAGTTTATTAAATTTAAATCTAGGTGAACAATGGAGTAATAATGAAAGAGATAAAATTGATATTATTTGTGTATTTACAGAAAATGCAGTGTTTGCTGATTTAAATTCTAGATTTGCTTTCAGCTTTGTCAATACTGACACAATTGTGGCAGCATTTCAAGCTTCACGTGGCCAGGGCAGCTGAGGGACCTCTTTATTTCTGTGGGTGCAATGTGTCTCTGCCTGTACTGGAAATGGGCTGTACCTTTGCAGTTGGTGTGTGCAGTGGTGTACACACACATCATCAGGAGGTTTGGGTTTGTATTCCTTTCAGCTCACTGGAATTACTTCCTTGTGTTAGGCTTTGAACATGAATTCCCTCCTGTTTCATCTTCAGACTTACACTGAGTTTCTAACAATCCTATCCTGTGAATTCAATAGGATGCTAAAGCCTTAACAAATTAAAATCATCCTTTACTTCTATTCCTCTGCTTCTTTTGTGGTTGTGAGGGTTTTATAAACATTTATTTAAGGTGTTCTGTTTTGACCATCAGAAACTCCAGTCACATCTGAAAACTAGGGCCAACAGATGACAGATAATTTTTAGTTGGAACACCAGCTCTTTCTGGAACACAGTGTGTTTGATTTTGAACTCCAGCCTGGTGACTTGGCTTTCCTTTGAGCTATGCCAGTGCTCCAGATTTGCACTTTTATGTAATTCCTTTCCATGCACTGAACCAGGCATGTTTAGTTTGCTTCCTCCTCTTCTCTTCCTTTTACTGAGGTGTAAAGAGGGAAGCATGTTCTATATATATGCTATATATTAATACATGTGGGTTATTCCTTAGCACAGGAATAAAGTACAGCATTCCAAGCATAATAGGGGAACAATTGCTACAGCTCATCTACTTCATGTCGTGATATATTAGCATAATAAAGACTAATATGTGTTCTTAGTGCCAGTATATTACTGAAGCTTCTCTGATATCTGGATATGAATCAAATCCTGCAGAGCAGTGATGAGGCAGAACAGCAAAACCCTTCGGATGTAGGTGGAATGTTCTTGCAAGCAGAATCTCATCCTGATCCTGGGGAGAGGGGAAGGGAAGAGATTTCAGATTGTTAAAACCGACCAGATTATAGAATAGTTACCAGGTGAATGTATTTGGTAGTACAACAGTTGGGAAGACTTATTTGGTGTTTGGCTCCTGGTGCCAGCCCAGCTTTGTCCCTGTGTGTGCCCCTGGCAGGAGGAGCAGGGGCTGTGCTCAGGGGTCCAGGCTCCAGCAGCACATGGAGGGGACTGCCCTTGAACCACTGCAGGCAGCAGGACTGGAGGGGCAGCACTGCCACCCGTGCTTTGTGTTGATAAGGAAATAATGCCAGAACTCTTCACAGCAGAACAGGGATTTCTCCCTTCAGTGAAAATTGAAGAGGCATTTTGAAGGCCGTGTACATGGGCTCTTCTGGGGAAAGATGCTTCAAAAAATAAGTGTTTCCACCACTGAAATGCACATTTCTATAAAACACCCAGTTTATACTGATCCATCTGAGTGCACTCTGTTACAAGCTTTGTAAGTATATTGATCTTTAAAACACCCAGAGGTCAAAGCAGCTGGGACACAGTGTCCAGCAGTGACCTGCAGCAACACCCTGCAAGTCTGGTGATACTGTGAATATTCAGCGACACGCTAATTGTGCTCTCGGAATTCTTCAGCAAAGTAAGCAGAGTTACTTCAGCTGTAAAATTGAGTGGAAGACTGAGAGTCCTTAGCACAGGAACCTCAGAGGCTTCCCTTGGTTTCAGTGCCCAGGGGAAAGTTAACAGACTTTGAAGAGCTTTTAATTTAGAGAAGTGTTTGGGTGGTAACTGCAGCTTCCGAGACAGAAGGTCTGCTCAAAGCTCCTGAGTACAGAGACCGTGAGGTGAAATTTGGGTCTGTGAATGTTCCTGTTTCCTAGAACTCCCAGGCTTGGAAAGTGCTGCACAGATTTGCAGACTGTTAAATTCTATATTTTTTTCCATTTTATTTTTAAATATTGAAGTGAGACTTCCAAGTCATTCATAAAATGTGAATGCCTCATCATCTCTGTGTTCTCCTTGCTGTTATTAAGTATATACAAGATGTTCAGTATTGTAAAAATAAATAAATCTACTTATGGAAATTGTGAGCAGAAGTGTTTGCCTTTAAGAACAGTTCCAGTGGGTACCTGTGTATTTGCATTGTCAGGTTTCCATATGTGTGCCATCTGTTTCAATGCCATTTTTGTTTGTTTTTGTCATCCCAGGACTATACCTTGACAATGTACTTTCAGCAAGCCTGGAGGGATAAGAGGCTGTCCTACAATGTGATCCCTCTGAACCTCACTCTGGACAATAGAGTAGCTGACCAGCTGTGGGTGCCTGACACCTATTTCCTCAATGACAAGAAGTCCTTTGTCCACGGGGTCACTGTGAAGAACAGAATGATTCGTTTGCATCCAGATGGAACAGTCCTTTATGGGCTCAGGTCAGTGTGAACCATTTCTAACTCTTCTGGCTCTTCATTTAAAACCACGATTAAAAGCCTAAAAATAAACCCCATTCCTTGCCTTTCTTAATGCTGTTCTTTTTATTGCTGTATTCTGTGTAACTGATGATATTCCAGAAAAAAAAATTAAATTAAGCATTCTAAGGACAGATAAATTTTTCTTTTTTTTTTCAGTACAATTATGGAGATAAAATGCCATTTTTAGTACAGTTCAGACACTTGTATTAAGAACAGATAAGACTGTAAATATAATTTGAAATACTCATTCAGGATTAAAAGCCTGGATTGGAATTGCTTCCTCAAAGGAATTGAAATAGAAAATACAAAATGAGGATTAGAGGAAAAAATGGAAAATGTATATGCTAGATGAATTGGTAGTTTAACTGATATATTTTATAAATATTTTTGTTTAAATGTTATATTGGTTTGTATGAACCAGCTTTCTGATTTTCCCTAAGAGGTGTGGCTTGAAATGTTCTTGTTGTTGTGTGTGTTTGGAGAGTGGGGACTGGAGAAAGCAGCAAGAGAGTTCACTCTTGAGGAGGTCTGAAAACTGGGGCAAGTGTCTGCTTAGCAATGTTGGTAGGAAAACCAGGTGATTTAAAATCTTGCTGCCAGAGGTGACTGAGGACCTGGCTGGGGAGGGGACAGAGCATTGTTTGGGTTCACGATGGAAAATGCAGAGCTGCTTCTTGGATCTGCCATTTGTGTTGGGTCCAGGTGTGTGTTCTGTGGGAGCAGAAGGTTTGGCACTGTGGCTTGGAGCAGGTCTGGAGGTGGTTGTTGTTCAGTGGAGCCTTGGAACAGAGTTGTAGTTTAAAGTGAAATACAAACCACCTTCGTACCAGACATCTGTGTCACTGCAGTGAGAGCAAGAATAACAATGGATTCAGCCTGACTTTCAATTTAAGACTCTGAAATCATAATCTTTATTTTTCAGAATAAATTAGAAATAGGTGAAACATTTCCTCCTTTTCATTAAGCATAAATAGCAAATCAGTTTTAATATCTTTTATAAGATGTGATAAAGTGAAATGGTGTCTATTTTTTACTTAAAGCTGTTTAATGTAATTAGAGGAAACATTATTACTGCTTGAATCCTTTATTACCCAGGGTTATTTTCTTCAATACTTTCAATCACAATATGGTGTCCAAAATGCTTTTATATTAAATCCACACGTTTAGTTGGTTTGGGGTTTTTTCTGTTGTAGAACTTTTGCACAACCCAAAGTTAAAGGTCTTTAGACAATTTCTTTTTCCGATCAGGAAATAATTTTCTAGTACTCTGGTCTATCTAGCAATGTCATATTTGAGATTATCAATTCTCACATCCCTGTCAGACTCTGCTGGGTCCATCTCAAGTGTTCCCTTTGCCCTGAGATGGATGGGAGCTCTGCCACCATTCCTTTGCTGTGCTGGAATGAGCCGTGCTCTGAGGGCAGTGGCAGGATGAGCATCCCCTGGGCCCCCCTGCCCATCCCCAGGATCAGGGACTGAGTTGTCTGCAGCCCTCCTGCAGCTGTGGAACTGCAGAGCCAAGAGGGAACGACCCCTCTTGTTCCTTAGACAGTCAGAGTGTTGTGGTGCAGAGACTGTGGCCATGGACAGACCCCTCAGAGATGAGGATGTGGCAAGAAAACCCCTTCTGTTATGTCCTGATCATTAATGATCCATGGACGATCCACAATCATCATTCTGTGATGAAATGTAGAGGATCCCTTCTCTTCCTCCTCAGACTCAGCTGAGGAGGTGAGAAAGGCTTTCTGGCTGGAATATCTTTCAGCCCCTGGGCTGGATGGGGCAGATCCACTGGTGGTACCATGACAGGGTGGTGTGAGGGGCCATGTTCTGCCTTTGCCTTCACTGGACCATGTGGCAATCAGTGATCTGAGTCTAATATTAAGGTTTCAGTTTTATAGCCTTAAGTAGCTTTTTCTATCTATTTCATCTAAATCCAATTCAGAGTTAATGTCATTTCAAGTGTCCACAGTACTGATATATTTAATGCCTGCTTAGTAGTAATTTCCACAGATCTTAAAAATGCCTGCTTAATTGTGTTTTCCACATATCAGCTAGAGAATCCCATACATCATTATTGGTCTGAAAATCACTACTACTCTTGCTTTGTTGTTTACCCTTGCTTACACTTGCAGTCACATATTCTTACTTTGTGTTCTACTAAAGTGAGGTTCCTTTAAGTGTCAGTCTTAAATTTTTTTACCTCCCTGTGCCTCTGTTGATAACCAAGTGTGTCCATATATCCCATGCACACACACGTGTTACTGTGGGTTTGGCTGCATTTACCCTGATTGCTGTGACCAAATGCACTGAACTGCAAGGGATCTGATTAATATAAATGTAACCATCCCGTTCTTTTATGTCCCTATAGTTTAATCTCTATTTCATACACAAGCAGTGATCCCTGAACATTGTTCTTTTTGGTTTTGTGAGCCCATCCATGGTATTCATGTCACATCTGATCAGATCTGACATTGGGAAGGTAAATTCCAGGCAGGACTAGGAGGCACTTTGGGAAGCACCTGGATTGTGCTGTCACTGCAGGAGGGGAGGGAAGAGAGCAGGGGCTGATGATGGCTGGGGCATCCCTGGGGTTGGCAAGTTGACCTCACAGCTGCCCTGGGCAGGCTGCAGGCACTGGGGAAAGGCAGAGCTGAATTCTTGACCATTTTCTTACAGAGAACATGACAGACTGGCTACTTTTAGGTTAAGAAGGGTTTTTGTTTCTGAGGGATATCTGCCAGCTATCTGTGCTTTGGGAAAATGTTTTCTTTCATGTTATTTTCATATTCCATCTGGCAAGAAAATTCATTGCTGCCAAGATCAGGACATTCAATAGATGATATACTTAAATCACCTAAATGGTAGAAAATTGTAAACATATAGTCTTAAATGAAGAGTCATTACAGGGAAAATTGCTATGTTGGTAGTTAAGATGACTTGCAAGAGGATATTAGTGATCTGACAACATATATAAAACAGTAAATTTAGAGATTTGAATCTAGGATAACATTTTACAGTAGGGTGAGCAAAGCTTGAATAAGATATGCAGTCAGAACTCAAGAAAAAATGTAGTTTTAATTAAATGTCTGTATGTTAAAATATCTGGTTTATATAATACACTGAGCGGAGATAGGTGCTACAGTAGAGAAGTTTTGTTATTTTTATAATGTATTTTTATATATATATATATGTAAAAAATTTCCTCTGACTTTTGACATCAAGTCTGTTCTAAAATGCAGACGGAAAGTTCAGCTCTCTTTTGCTTTATTCTGTATAATTCTGGGGAAGAATCTCTTTTCTGATTTCTGCATGCTCTGAAAGTACTGGAAGTTTTCTGAGGTTTTTCCAGGGATGGAATAGAAGATTTGAGAAGGGTGACAAGCAGGAGCCTCCTGTTCCCCAGTTTAGAGTGCTGGGTGTAGATCTGGTTGAAGAAGTGGCTGCAGCCAAAGCTGTTCAGGGGGCTCTGCACCCTCAGCAGCCCTGGCACTGATCTCACACACTGGTCCCCTCCCCAGAGCCCTGTGCTGGGGGATGGACTGGCACTTGCATGCCCAGGAGCTCTGGATGCTGCTGGATCTCTTCAGTAGGATGGGTTTATGCTTTTTGTCACTGCTGTTTGTGGGTGTTTTTCACTGAGAAATAGAATATATACAGAACTTGTGCTAAGGGGCCTCCTCCCATCCTTGCAGCCAACAGGAAAACCAAAGGAGGTGGAACAGAGCAGTTCTGTCAGAAAGGAAAGATTTGTCCCAACAGTTGAAAGCCCAACAGTTTTACTTGCCAAGATCCATTTAATACATTGCCAACTCTAAGTCTCCAAGCCAGCCAGCAATAATTCCTACTTGACTGATGGAACACAGTAATCTCCCAGAAATGAGAGAATTATGTGTATGATGGGCTTGCTTTGTCTTCTCTCTATTTCCTGCCACCAGCATTGAGTCACATGAATCCAAAATAGTCCTGGATGCTTGGATTTTGTGTTGTCTCATCTGTGCCTTCTGCTGTCTGCTCACTCAGTTTCAGCTGCTTAGAAATTTTCACTGTTGCAAGTAAAATAGATTCGCCCACACTTTGTTCTATTAAAATAGCCTTGGGCATTTTTGTTGTATTAATAGACTCGTTGAGCAGTTTAACTTCTCATATGCAGCTTATTAGCTACAAAATCTGATGGACAGTTTAAAAAGGAATTGCCTTTCCAAATGCCTTTGGTTCTCAGGCCATGCTCTTGGACAGGTGAATTGCTCACACCATCTATCCTTCAGTAAATCATCTGATCTTTATTTTGCTACTTTTTGCTTTTTTATCTAATTTTTTTTTCCCCTCCTGATAAGTCTTATTTTTTAATTAAATTCTTCAGGATAATTTGGAGGTAAATTTGCATTGCCCAGTTTTAAAATGGTTTGTGCTGGCTGGAGCAGCCTGGTCTGGTGGGAGCTGTCCCTGCCCATGGCAGGGGGGATTTGGGAGCAGATGATCTCTAAGGTCCCTTCCAATGCCTAAACATTCTGTGATTCTGTGAATTAAAGTTATGTCTTTGGACTGCCTATAATATTTCAGATATCCATGTTATTACAGAATTTCCTCTGCAAGAAAGTGAGAGATCTCTCCTGCCTTTTTGCTACAAAATGATATTTCCAGAAGCTGGACAGGAGTTGTTTAAAGGCTTATAATGCTATTCATGCTGAACAAGAAGTTTTCTCGAGATCTTTCCAAGTTTGGGGATTTCAGAAAGGATACAGAGGACCTGGCCTTCTGTTCTGGGGGGAGGATGTAACTTTGGATGCTCTGCTCTTGACCCTGCTCCTGTCAGGGGGGCAGCTGTTCCAGCACATGGATGTTTCTCTTGGCTTTGCAGCCTCCACTCCGGCTGGGAGAAAAGGCAATAAACCCCCAGTGAGGTCCCCTGGAGCACAGAAAGCAGAGGTAGCATCTCAAAGTAGTGTTGCCATTTGTTA